GCGTGCCTCTCCGGGCACGGCAGAGAGCCACAATCCTAGATCGATGTGTCCCCCCCCCCTCTTATTGCCCTTCCCCCCGTCGCTTCCCCTCCGGGTGGCACCCCGCGCCGGCCCCCGGGGGAGCCCCCCGCGCGGCTCTCCCCGGCAGCCGTCGTGCGTGCTCTCCGGGCACGGCGGAGAGAGCCCCAAGTGGTCGCAGCGAGAGGCGGCGGACTCTTCGGGGAGGGCCCCCCCCTCGGGGGAGCACCCGCCGACCTCGGCAGGGAGCGCCTCGGTTTTGGCTGCGGTCGATCTGGCCGTCCCTAGGGCGTCACGTCGGGCACAGCCAGCACTGCTCTGGACATCGCGGCCTGTGTCCACTCGAGGCAGAAGGCCGCCTGCCCAACAGCGGCCGCTGTTGGTCTGGGGCAACATTTGCTGTTGGGCATTGTGCCGCTGTTTCCGTGCCCATTTCGGGCGTCCAAAGCTGCAGTCAGCCCGCACAGTGAGGATGGGCAGCCTTCCCAAAAGGGTACCCTTTTTATCCTTGCCCCTTCGGCCCATCCTCAGCGACTTTCTCTGGCCAGCCTCGCTCGAGAAGCGCTACCGCGGCACTCCAAGCCCCTTGCATCCTCACCGCGCATCCTTATGATACGGGTTTACTGTAAGCTGGTTTTGGTGTTCGAAGAAGTTCTGGCATGCGCAAGACATCCCCCAGGTTGTGTCTTCGATGCGATTGTGGTCGCTTGCTGTCCCCGTATTTTTCTTATTTTCATCCAGGTCTTCCAAAATGGGCCAGAGGAGATGGGGCCGGAGGATCCGGCCGCATCGCCGATGCATCGGCGATGCGGCTCGATGTGGAGCACAGCTTTCTCCGTGCCGACGGCGCCGATGCATCGCCGACGTCGCCGATGCATCGCCGATGCATTGCCGATGCACTGGCGATGCGGCGGGATCCTCCGACCCCATCTGATCGGCTGCCATTTTGGTGGCCTCCATCTAACCAGCTGCGTGAGGGATGTTTCGGATCGTCCGCCGCCCCAGATCGCAGCTGATCCGCGCAGCTTCCAATGTGCCGAGCGGCGAGAGCGTTCGTGAGCCTCGCGTGGACATGAGAATTCACCTGTGCTGATTCTTCTGGGCCCGTTCCGAAGGGAAAGCGGAGATTGTCCTAGACATGATGGGGTCGTGAAAGAATCACCGCGGATGATTTTTGACAATTTTCGGCCTCCAGGGGCCCTCGCCAGGCCATGGGCCGTCAAAACCTGACTCGGGATGGAAACCTGTCCCTGGGAAAAGGGTCGAGACCTCTGGGGGCCCCGTTATTGAAAGAAGGCGGGACGTTGCATGTCGCCCACCTTTGGGCAGCTCTCTGCGACACTTGCAGCCGTCCGCCCCTGCCCCAAGTCGCAACTGCCGCAGAGGAGGAGCAGGACTCGACTCCCCGGTGCCGTTCGTTCTGCGCCACTGGCGGGGATGGCCAGCCAGCGTGGAGGGAGTGCGATTTGATAGCGGGGTGGGCGCAGCAGCTGCGCCGTCATGTCGGTTCAGGAGTCAGCACGTGTGCATGTTAACGGGGGCCGAGCAACATCAAGAGATGAACAGCCACCTGAGCACATATTCTGCGTCTTTTCAGCAGTCCTGGGCGTCTGCGAAACAGCACTGCCCTGCTTGATTCGTTCCTTAGGCGCATGTAGTGAAAGGGTTCGTTTGCCGGGGTAATTCTTCTGAGGGTCGTTCTCCTGCCTTGTACAAAAGTCGGGCCAGTTTTTCTCCGAATTGGTTTGGAAAGCCTTCGGGGAACACGTGGGCATCTTGAAGGTCATCTTGGCCGCCTGGAGGCCATTTTGACCCTTTCGGGCTTCTTGGAGGACGTCTTGGAGGGCTCTTGGGCCGTCTTGGAGGCCATCTTGAGCGTCTTGGAGGCCTCTTGGGCCGTCTTGGGGGCCTCTTGGGGCCGTCTTAGGCCTCTTGGGCGATCTTTGGGGGCACTTGGGCCGTCTCGGGCCGTCGGAAGGCCGAAAAACAGCAAATGCCACAATCCTTGAACAACTCATGGGAAATCACTGATTTTGGCCTTTTCGGGCCTTCCTGGAGGCCCTCTTGGAGGCCTCTTGGGCCGTCTTGGGCCATCTTAGTGCCATCTTCGGTCGTCGTGGTGGGCCACTGGCCCGTCCGACGCCGTCGGAAGCCGTTTGGGGGGCCTCTCTGAGCCGATTTGGGGCCCTCTTGGAATGCTCCAGGGTCGTCTTGGAGGCCATCTTGGGCGTCTGAAAAGCCTCCTGGGCCTCTTGGGGCCCTCTTTGGGCCGTCTTGGGTCGTTATGGAGCCATCTTGGAGGCCTCTTGGGCGATCTTTGGGCGATCTTTGGGGGCTCTTGGGCCGTATCGGGCCGTCGGAAGGCCGAAACGAAGCAAATGTCAAAATCCTTCGAAAACCTATGGAACATCAGTTTTTTTTTTGTTGTTGCCTTTTTCTGGCCTTCCTGGAGGACCTCTTGGAGGCCTCTTGGGCCGTCTTGGGCCAGCTTCGAGCCAACTTCGGCTATTTTGGTGGGCTCCTGGCCCGTCTGATGCCGTCGGAAGCCGTTGGGGGGGCCTCTCTGGGCCCACTTGGGGCCCTCTTGGGGTGCTCCAGGGCCGTCTTAGAGGCCATCTTGGGCGTATTGGAGGCCTCGTGGACCGTCTTGGGGCCCTCTTGGGGTCGTCTTGGGGGCCTCTTGGGCCGTCACGGGGCCATCTTGGAGGCCTTTTGGGCGATCTTGGGGCGATCTTGGGGGTCTCTTGGGCCGTCTGGGGCCGTCGGAAAGCCGAAGAGGCGCAAATGCCAAAATCCTTCAAAAACCAACGGTAAATCAATGATTTTGCCTCTTCGGGCCTTCCTGGAGGACCTCTTCGACGCCTCTTGGGCCGCCTTGGAGGCCTCTTGGGGGCCTCTTGGGCCGTCTTGGGCCATCTTCAGGCTACCTTAGGCCGTCTAGGGTACATCTTGGGCCGTCTTGGAGGCATCTTGGGGCCATCTGAGCCGTCTTGGAGGCCATCTTGGCCGTTTTGGAGGCATCTTGGCCGTCTTGGAGGCCATCTTGGGGCCGTCTGGGGCAGGAAAACCGTTTGCAACCACCTCTTCCAGGTGGCCGGCGGGACGGGCCGAAGCCCCAGGGGGAGTTCTTTTGGAAAGAGAGCCAAAACCAAAAGCCATATCGTCCGGCACGCCAGGCACCCCTTTGATAAATCAAAAGGGGGCGGCGGATCTTATGTAATGGCCTTCGGCCCGTCCCGCCTCCGTGCCTGGGTTGTGGGTCAGGGTTCCCAGGGATGCTTCTTCGCGTCTCTCACAAAGCTCTCGGGGGCCTCAGAGAAAGAGAGAGAGAGAGAGAGAGAGAGAGAAAGAGAAAAGAGAGATGATGAGAGAGGGGGAGAGCGAGTGAAGATAGAGGGAGAGAGCGAGAGAGAGCGAGAGAGAGAGAGAGAGAAAAAGAGCAGGCGAGAGAGACGGAGACTTCGAGCTGTGCGGAGCGTTCGCGGCCTTGCCGGCTTCCCCCCAGGAGTGGCCCGACGGCTCCACTTATCGTGGCGGCTACAAGAAGGCGCCCAGTCGCTGCGCCCTGCCCTGTCCCCACCGATGCGAGCTCCTGGATCTGCGTCATCTGAACCTGCATGTCCGTTACCCATGCGTAGTTTGTGTGTCGTGCAGCGAATCACCGCCACTCTTGCCTTTCTGGAAACGCCAGTGTGGCCAACACCCTGGCCAATGTGGCCCCCCAGCCGTTGTGGAACCCCCTAGGAGCACACTTGGTGGAGGAAAAGGCGAAGCTTTTTGAGGGGAAGGCAGACGAGGAGGTGGCCTCGGGGGTGTCTCTTAGGGGCCTCTTTAGGCCTCCTGGGGGCTTCTTGGGGTTCTATCTTGCCGTCTTGGAGGGCATCCTGGACCGTCTTGGAGGCTGTATAGGGTTGTCTTTGGCGGTTTGGAACCATCTTGGCTATCTTGGAGCCATCATGACGGGTGGCGTTTGGCCCAGGCAGCGAGTCGCGGTCCTGGGCATCGAGACTGACGGCGTCACGTGCCCGAGGTACGGCGAGGCCTCAGAGACGTGGACACACCGCATGTGGGAGTGCAAACGCAACGAGACGATCGAGGGCTGCGAGAGGTCTGCCCACTTGATCGAACGATTGTTGACCGAGGTGGAGAACCAGCCGTGCCTATGGCTCAGGGGCATCCTGCCCAAGAGCTGGACGCAGGTCAAGCCACCACCAGAGCCAGGAGAGGAGCTGTACGGGAGTGTCGGCACCGTGGAGCACCTGGCGACGGACGAGTGGTTCATTGCAGCGGGCGACGCGTCGGGAGGCGAGTACGCGGCAGACCCACGCTTCCGAAAGATCGCGTGGGGATGGGTGGTCTTCAATTCTTTCGACGCGTGTGAAGGCAAGGGAGTGGCTGGTGGCAGAGGCGCCCTAACTAGATGGCGTCAGAGTGTCAACCGAGGCGAGCTCATGGCGAAGGGCAAAATCCCGAATTCGCACGTGGACCTGCGGATGGCGGTCAATCGGAGCATCGAAGGCAGGTAGCTGAGCATCGTGAAGGTGGAGAGCCATTTGAAGGCGCAGGCGGCGTTGGAAAGGGGCGTCAGCCCGATCGACTGGCTGGGCAACTCGATCGCGGACAGCTTCGTGGACGGCATCATCGAGCAGGTCAGGTCCAGGTCCCGTGGGCGCAGGCGCGCTCCGTCGGCTTCGCGGAGGGCGCGGCGAAGCTGATCAGGGACCGCGCGCTCGGGACGCTGATGGCGTCCATCGATGTGGAGCCGTCGCAGGCGCCGAGCGTGAAGATCCAGAAGGAGGCCTACGTAGCGTAGCGGAGGCGCGACAAGCTGCTGGCGGGGACCCAGCACAACATCAAGTTCGAGGGGAAGCACTGCAGGTGCTTGCGCTGCGGGTCGGTCACGCCCGCGACTGCAGCGGGCGAGTGGCGGGCGGGAGAGCGCAACGCCATGGTGAAGACGGCAGCGGCGCACGGCTCGCTCATCAGCCGCGCGAGGATCGGCAACCAAGAGGCGCACGCGTCACACAACATCGTGTACGACGAAGCCCTGCAGCTGCACTACTGCACGCTGTGCGGGTGCATTGGGCGAGAAGGGATGAGGAGCATCGCAGCAAAGTTCAACGAGGCGCCCAAGCAGATGGGCAAGCAAAACCTCGCGAGGATCAAGGAGGGACTACAGCCTGGGACTTCGTTTTTGGCCAAGGAGTTCAACGAGAAGACAAAAACGAGGGGTACTGAAGGTGGCGCTCTGTTTGCGCGTCGCCTTGTCTCCGTGGGGCCCAGACTGGGCCCGAGGAGCCGCTGGCCCTTGCATCACAAATCTTGGATTCCTTTGAGGGCGTTTTGGCGCCCTATGGGAAGTCCTTTGAGCCGTCTTTGGGTGATATCGGAGGCCTCGCGGGCCGTCTGAGGCTGTCGGATGCCCTCGAGTGCGAGAACGCCCAAATTGTCGAACAGCCAAAGGCATATCAACTATTCCCGCAATTCGCTAGAGGGTTTTAGTGGAGATCAAAGATCTCTCCCGCTAGGATCTCCACAGGGTGGGTCGGGGGGAGGCGTCCCTCAGGCCCGGCGGCGGCCCGGCAGCGGCCCGGCAGCAGCCAGGCAGCGCGGCCCAGGAGCGCTCGCTATTGTGTTCACGGGTAGCCGCGCATGGTCCAAGATTTTTGTGCACGCTGTATTGTTTTTGTAAGGGCTGGTGGGCCCGCGCGCAGCAGACAATTTGCCAACGCCCCGCCATCCTTATCGAAAACAAGACACTGTGATCGCGGGGGGGGCACGCAGGGTCCCAGATTTTGCCACAAAGAGTCCTTCGTATTGCTGTTTTGTGCAGATATTGTGGGCGGGGGGTGGCATCGTTCCCGGTTCTCTCCTGGTCAGGTGTGGATTGGACGGGCCGTAGTGTAATGATATGGAATGTGATAAGCCTTCCCCAAGGGACATCGGGGGTTGGAAGGGGAAACGCGCTAAACCACTTGGGCCCTGAAAGGCTGGTGGGGCACGCCTGGCTGCAGATATCCTTCGACTTCTGAACCTCGGATGGTGTTTGAAATCCTCACCTGCAAAGGTAGGGTTTGGAGGTGGCTGCTTGCCGCTCGTCAGGAACACTGCGCCCCGCGTCTCATCCAAGTGTATGTTTTAACAGGTTGTCGTAATGGCCAGTACTCGCGTTACGACTGTGGCTGTTGAGGCATGTTGTCCCCGCCCATCTCCCCCCTCGGAACAAAAAAATTCGGAGGTGGTTGCCCACCGTCCGCTCCCCCAGGACCTGCGCCAGGGCGAAGGCACCCTCACGTGGCCCGACGGGAGGAAGTACCGCGGCCAGTGGTGCAACGGCAAGCAGGAACTGCCCGAGACGCGCCGCGGGCGCCTCTCCCACCGCGAAGGGGGGCTGCTGGCCTCGTAGTCGCGGCGACGTGCCGGCCTCGATCAGACAGGGCCGCCTGCGATACGACCCGATGCGATGCGATCCGCCACGTGGGGTCGCGATTCCGATTCGATCCTATTCGGCCCCATTCGCCGGCATTGTCTGGGTAGGGGGCCACATGCGAACCCTACCCCTACCCCCCACGCTTCCCGAGGGGGAGGGTGGGGTTCACTTCGTTCGGGAGCTCCTTTTTTTTGTTTTGTTCTCAATTTTTTTTTCCCGAGCGAGTGAACCCAACCCTACCCCTCAGAAATCGGTGGGGGGCAGGGCCGGGGGTAGGGTAGGGTTCGCCATTTTCGCGGGTCCCCTGCTCGGGCAGGCCGGAAGCCGGGCGCGGCGATCCGATCTCGATGGATTCGGGACGGAATTTTTTTTTGTCTTTTTTTTTTTTTTTCTTTATGTTTTCTGTTTCCACAACTTTTTCCTTTCCCTGGGCGACTCGACCGTTTCCGGCCCGAGCCGATTTCGCCATGCGGTGCAGCTCAGGCCTGCCGGGAAGGCGCCGCCACCGGCCGGGCCCATCCTGGCACGGGATCGGTGCCACACGGGAGCGACACCACCGTCGGCGGTAAGCCCAGGGAGGGAGTGGAGAATAGGGGCGAGGGGACCACATGCGAACCCTACCCCACCCCCCCACGATTCTGAGGGGAGGGTGTGGGTTCACTTCGCTCGGGAGCTCCCGAACGAAGTGAACCCCACCCTCCCCCTCAGAAATCGTGGGGGGTAGGGGTAGGGTTCCCATTTAGCCCCCCTAGGGGCGGGCCTTCGCAAAAGGCTCGGGAATCCCTGGGCCTTCTGAAGTCTGCGAAGCCTTTCCCGATGACGCATAACACGTTCTCAGAAGGCGCGAGGGCTTCTGAGAAGCTCCGCCGCCTCTGAGAAGGCCTTGTCCTGGTCACTCTCCCCCCCTCGCTCGCCACCCAGGGGTCCCAGCGGGGTTTTCTCAGGGCCTTGTGAGAAATCTTCGAAGCCTTCCCCGCAGGCGCGGAGACCTTCCCAAAACGCCGTAGGGCCTCTGAGAAGCCCCGCCGCCCTCTGAGATGGCCTTGTCCTTCTCACTTCCTCCCCTTGCCCAAGAGGGTCCCAACAGGGGCCAAAGAGGGGCCCACGACGGCCACAAGAGCGCCCAAGAGCGCTCCAAGAGCGCCCCAAGAGTAGTCCAGGAGGCTATGTTGGGGGCTCCCGAGGGGGGGGGGGGCGGAAATAGGGAACCCCCTTTTTTTTGAGTGATCTCCTCCAAGATGGCCCCGGAAGCGCCCCTGAAGCCTCCCAGGAGCGCTCCAAGAGGGCCCCAAGAGGCACCCAGGCGGCCCCAAGGGGCGCCCCAAACGCTTCCAAGAGGCCTCCGAGCCGAAGGGTGCACTGCGAGCGCCCCCGGCTGCGCGGCGGGAGGCGGCTGTGCAGCCGGCCCTGTCTCCCGAAGGGCGCTACAGCCACGGCGTTCGGAGGCTGGGCCAGCCTCGGGGGCTCCCGGACGGTGGGGTGGCCACGCCGTTACGGGGCGTGAGAACGACCACAGCCACTGCTTTTCTTCTGTTGCCGCCTTCCAGCCCGCAGAAACAAAGCAGTGGTCGTTGGTCATTTTCGTGACCACAGCCACTGCTTCTTTTTCGGCCGGCTGGAAGGCGGCGCAAACAAGAAGCAGTGGCCGTGGTCATCTTCCCGTCCCGCAACCGTGCGTCGTTTCCCCATCCCCATCCGCATCCAGACCCCCAGCATCCCACCCCACCAGTTGGGGATGTATACCCCTCGGAGCCCGAAGGACACGGCCTGTCTCCCCATCCTGGGGGTCGGATCGGCCAGTGGGGCCAGGCCACGCCGTCGGGGACAGGGGTCGGGTAAGCGATACTCAGGTGGGGACTCGGGGTCACCGCACGGTTCTGGGACTTGGGTCGATCTCCGAGGACGGGGCCTCGAGGGTCCCCAAACCATGCGTCTCCTCCTCCTCCTCCTCCTCCTCCTCCGCCTCCTCCTAGGTCGATGGGGAATTCGAGGTCACCGAACGGTCCGTCACCGTGCGGCTTTGGGGCCCCGAACAGCCCTTGCTGGCGGCAGGGGGGAGGGTGGAGCGGGGGGGGGGGGACAGGCGGAAGGAGCGCACGCGCACGGCCAGCATGTCCGAGCAGTGCGAACAGACTGACGCGAATCTGTGCCCGTCAGCACCAGGAGGTCGTCCCAGGAAGCTTCAGAATATGTGGGCACAGTGATGCCCACGGCCCAGGGCAGTTTCAGCACCCCCGCCAGTGTACGGCAGCTTTTCGTCGTGCCGACGGGGCTGCGATCCTAGCGCGAGCGTTCAAGGTGGAAAGCCGCTGGTGGCACAGAATCGGCCAATAGGGAACGATCTGGCGATCGAAAAGCCGCTCATCGTTGAAGGTTGGACGATCCGAGCGGTGTCAGTCACCAATGTCGAAGTCGACACGTCAAGGATTTGCCGCTCGCCGTGGCCAGAAAAGCCCCCTCCTTCCTGCCTCGCCGTTCCCAATGGTAGCGCGTTGGCTGCATTCAGTTTTCCCTGGTCGCCCACATCGTCGAGTCGGCATCTCACTCGCGCCGTCGCCAGGCCGTCCCAGCGATCGCCGTCCGCCGCCGTCCAGCCGGCCGCTGCGTCTCGTAGCCGCGCCAGTGTTCGGTGTGCGGCGCGGCCCCCGCCGCCCCCAGGGATGCGACGGCGCGCTTTTTTCGAGGCGCGCGCTCCCAGACCTCTCGACCCCTTCCCCGGGGCCAGCCTTCCATCCCGCGCCGTCTCTGGCCCGGAGGGCTGACGAGTGCCCAGAGGACGAGACCCTATAATTGGCTCCTCCTCCTCCTCCTCCTCCTCCTCCTCCTCCTCCTCCGCCCCCCCCCCCTCCTCCTCCTACTCCTCCTCCTCCTCCTCCTACTTTCCTCCTCCTCCTGCCTCCTCAGCCTACTACTCTCCTCCTCTCTCCTCCCTCCTCCTCTCCTCTCCCTCCCCTCCTCTCTCCTCCCCTCCTCATCCTCCTCCTCCTCCTCATCCTTACTCCCTCCTCCTTCTCCTCCTCACCCTCCAATCCTCATCTAGCTCTGCTGTCCTCCTCCTCCTCCTCCTCCTCCTCCTCCTCCTCCTCCTCCTCCCCCTCGGGTCACCTATGGCCCCGGGGGAAGCCGTGCACCCTCGCCTCGGTCGGTCTCTGGGGGCACGCTCGACGGGCCCCGCGACCATCGCAGGGCGACGAATGGCTGGCCCCCGGGGAGGCGGTCCAGACTCTGGGGGCCCACGCATCGAGCTGCCCACGGCGAAGGGCCCAACCCTCGATGAACGCGTGGCGACCATGCGCAGGACCGCTCAATGCGAATGGACATACTGAGGGAAACCAGTACTCCTGAACGCTTCGCCAAAGATCGAATCGGGGATCAGTTAAATGATTACTTTACTCCAAACTTGATTTTCCCGCCGTCTATAAAGAAACGCGTGGATTGTTCGTGGATCGACATTGTACGTATTTTGTCGTGGATCCGGCGGGGAAATCAATCTAGGAGTAATTCAATTCTGTAGTCGATTCCCTACTCGAAAAGAGCGCAATGTAACACTGAATTGAGCGGGGAGGAGCGAAGTGGGCGTGGCGACACCTTGCGAGCCCAACCACCAGGGCCTTCGCATGAGCTCCCTATGGGGCCACGAAGCGAGTGAGGGTTGCGCCGAATTGGGGCGGGGTGACGCCATGCGAACGCAGCCACTGGGGCCTTCGCAGGAGCTCCCGATGTGGCCACGAAACGTTTCAGGTGTCTGCCGACATGGGGCGGGTCACCATGTGAACCAAACCGCTGGGGCCTTCGCTGTAGCTCCCTATGGTTGAGTGTGCGTTTTGGAGGCAAACTAGCCTCAAAAGCTAAACTCAAAAAACTCGAATAATATTATGATTCAGCTCTGATTCAACTCTGGCCCAGAACTCTGTTTCATCTTTGATTTTTTTGAAACGCTGATTTAACTCTGGTCTGATTTCTGATTTCACTCTGATTCGGCTCTGTCCCCAGCCAGAGCTTAATCATAGCTAAATCAGAGTTCCAGACCAGAGCTTAATCAGAGTTTCAGCTAAACCAGAGAGATGAATCAGAGTTTATGGCCAGAGCCAAATCAGAGTTTCAGCCAAACCAGAGAAGAGTGTCAGGCCAGAGCCAGAACAAGGCTGAATTAGAGTACCATCAGAGTTCTGGCAGTCCTGGGCGGAGGGCGCGGGGCGCGCTGCGCAAGTGCACTTGTCCTCCCTCCTTGTCCATCCTCCCTCTTCCCCTCGCTCTCTTTCCTACCTCGTCTATCCCCTCCCTCCTTCCTCCGCTTCCCTCTCCCTCCCTTCCCTCCTCCCCCGTTCGCGTCCCTCTTCCCCCCTCTCCCCTCCCATCCTCCTCAGTTTGTCTCCTCCCTCCTCCCCTTATCCCCGCCCTTATCCTCCACCTTCCCTCCTCCTCCTCTTCCTCCCCCTTGCCCTCGCTAGTCCCGTTTCCTCCTTCCTCGGTCGCCGTCGCCCTCCACGTGCTGTCCCTCCCCTGCCCTCGGCCCCCATTCCTCCCTTCGTCCTTTTGTTCCTCCTCATCCTCCCCCTCCCCCTCCTCCGCATCGAGCGTCAGTCTTCGCTCCTCGGCCTCAGGTGTCCCGCCCTCGTTCTCGCCCTCGCTTCCCCCTTCGCCCCAGGCCCCGCGCCCGGCCTCGTCTCCGCCCTCGCCCCCGCGCCCGCCCTTGCCCCCGCCCGAGGCCATTTTCACTTCAACCCTCTTTTTCGCCTTCGCCTTCGATCCCGTCCTTGCTCTCACCGTCGTTCCAGCCCTCGTTCCCGCCCTCGTTCCCTCCCTCGTTCCAACCTTCGTTACCGCCCTCGTTTTCGCTCTCATTCTCGCCCTGGTTCCCGCCCTCGTTTCCGCCTTCGTTCCCGCCCTCGTTCTCGCCCTTGTTCTCGCCCTCGTTCCCGCCTTCGTTCCAACCTTCGCTCCCGCCGTCGCTCCCGCCCTCGTTCCTGCCGTCGCTCCCGCCCTCGTTCTCGCACTCGTTCCCGCCCTCGTTCCCGTCCTCGTTTTCTTTCTCGTTCTCGCCCTCGCTCCCGCCCTCGTTCCCGCCTTCGTTCCCGCCCTCGTTCTCGCCCTCGTTCTCGCCCTCGTTCCCGCCTTCTTCCCGCCTTCGTTCCCGCCCTGGTTGTCTCGTTCCCGCCCTCATTCTGTTTTCGTGTTGCCCTCGTTCTGAGGCCGCCCGGAGGCCGCCAGGGGAACCCAAGGTCCGCCTGGGGAAATCAGATTTGAAGCAGAGTTTCGGCCAGACCTCAAACAGACTTCAAACGGACCTTGAAGACCTCAAACAGACCTTAATCAGAGTTTGGCCCAAAGCAGATTTGAAACATACCTCAAACATACCTTAAACAGATCTCAAACAGACCTTAATCAGACTTCAATCAGACCTCCCAGAGGTTCCCCCACAGGAGGTTCCCCAGAGGTTCCCCGGAGGCGCCCAGGGAATTCCCGAGGCGCCCTGAGGCGGCCCCTCACTCTCATTCCCGCTTTCGCTCCCCCCTTGTTCCCGCCCTCGCTCCCGCCCTCGTTTTCGCCCTCGTTCTCGCCCTCGTTCTCGCCCTCGTTCTCGCCCTCGTTCTCGCCCTCGTTCCCGCCTTCGTTCCCGCCTTCGTTCCTGCCCTCGTTCCCGCCCTCGTTCCCGCCCTCGCTCCCGCCCTCGTTTTCGCCCTCGTTCTCTTCCTCGTTTTCGCCTTCGCTCCCGCCGTCGCCCCCGCCGTCGTTCGCGCCGTCGCTCCCGCCCTTGTTCTCGCCCTTGTTCCCGTCCTCGCTCCCGCCCTCGTTCCCGCCCTCGTTCCCGCCCTCGTTCTCATCCCCGTTCTGGCCCTCGCACCCGCCCTCGTTCCCGCCCTCTTTATCTCGCCCTCGTTCTCGTCGCCCTCGTTCCCGCCCTCGTTCTCGCTCTCATTCCCGCCCTCGTTCCCGCCCTCGTTTCCGTCCTCGCTCCCGCCCTCGTTCTCGCCCATCGCCCCCGCCCCCCTTCCCACCCCAGTTCCTGCCCTCGCCTCCGCCTTCGTTCTCGCAGTCGTTCCTACCCTTGCCCCTCGTCCCCGCTTTCGTTCTGGGCACCTCCCAGGGCGCCTCCCGCGCCCCCGAGCAATGCGAAAAGTGCAGCGCTTCTCCTCTGCGCGTCCTGCCCCCGACCTGTCCTGGGCGGGCGGCGGGGATTGGGGGCGGTCGCCGCGACGCGCGCCCTGTCGCGGCGCGGCACCTGGTAGCCTTGAGGAGCGAGTCTCGGGTGAGTTTTTTTTCGCCCCAGTTGTCGTTGGGCAGTTTTGGGCAGGGCCGCGCAGGCGGGGGGTGCTGCCCCCGCCCCGGCTCGCAGCATTTGGCAGCTGGCGGCTGGGCCCCCAGCCGTGATCTGCCGCTTGGCTTACGCATTCCTGTTGTTTCTCTTCTTGAAGACGCATGCGCATGGGGCCGACCCGGCAGCGTTCTGGGCCGACGCCGCGGCATCGGTCTCGGTGGGCCCAAACCAAGCCAGAAACTTACTTTAGAGTTCCCAGTCGGACCTAAATCAGACTTGGGCCTTAGGGCCAGAGTTAGATCAGAGTTCCAGTTGGACCTAAATCGGAGTTGGTGCTGAGGACCAGACTTGAATCAGGGTTCCAGCGCAGATATGAATCCGACCTTCGTCGAAATTTTCGACCTGAGCAGAGAAACGGAGTATGCCCCCATGGGGACGCGCTCAACTTTATGGTGCCATGAAACGTGCGAGGGGTCTGCCGAGCTGGGGCGGGTCACCATGTGAACGCAGCCGCTGCGGCCTTCGGTGGAGACCCCGATCAGGCCACGAAGCGTGTGAGGGGTGCGCTGACGTAGAGCGAAACGGTGATCAGCATAATGGAGGTGGTGGTGGCGAGTACGAAAGCGGTGATGCTAACGACGACGATGGTGAGGATGATGCTGATGACAATGGTGATCAGGAAAGAACGAAGCGGGGGAGGGCGCTGGGGATTCGAAGCGAGGACCCAGCGCACAGGAGAGTTGGGAAACAACTGGGGCGCCAGATATCTGATGATCGTTTTCGGATTCATCGTTTTGCCGGTCGGCGCGGGCCCTCGCGCCCCCCGCCCCGCCCCCCCAGAGTATTGGCTGTTCTTGGCGCCTGTCCCCAGCTGGCGGCATCTCCCCCATGGGACGCAGTGCTGCAAACGGCCGCACGAAGCAGAGGTCTGGGCCAGACCCCCCCCCTCCCCCCACCCTTTCCGCCCAGGAGGAGGAGGAGGAGGAAGGAGGAGGAGGAGGAGGAGGAGGGGAGGAGGAGGAGGAGGAGGAGGAGGAAGGAGGAGGAGGAGGAGGAGGAGGCGGAGGAGGAGGAGGAGGCGGAGGAGGAGGCGGCGGAGGAGGAGGAGGAGGAGGAGGAGGAGGAGGAGGAAGAGGAGGAGGAGGTGTCGAGACGCCGGATACGAAAACGCTTTCCTGGGGATGCGCGATGGGACGGAGGGGCCTTCGGTCCGCGACCACTCACTGCGAGCCCTGCTGCCCAGTCGACGCTCTGGTGTCGGCCGCCCCCGCTGAAGTTCCCTCAGTCAGCCAGGGCTGGACCTAAACGGTGTTTTGGGTAATTTCGTGGGCCGTTTTCGCTTCGATTTCGTTTTGCGGTAAAGGCGGATTCGGGACAAAAGCAAGGTAAAACGAACACAAAACGAAAACGAAAAACACCGTTTAGGTTCAGCCCTGCTGTCAGCCGTCCATCGACCATGTGCTGAAACTGCCGTCCAGGGCCCGTGAGCCGGAGCGCCCGGAGAAGGAGCGATCGACGATGCGATCCGAGCCGGTCCTCCATCGACGCCGTTGGCTTCCCACGTTCCTCGGGCCTCTTGGGCCTCCTCTTTGGCCCCTACCTCTGTGGAGCCCATCTGCGAACCCCCTCCCGTTCCGAGGGCCCCGCCCCCTACAAAGCTCCTCTACGGAACCCCACTGCGAAGCCCCTTCCGTTCTGAGGGCCTTGCCTTTAAAAAGGCCCTCTACGAGGCTCCCCTCCTTACGAAGCCCCTCTCAGGGCTTATGCGTCCTGCGCTGCCCTCCGCGAAGCTCCTTCTTCCCATCAGTAGAAAAGGCCGACGCCTTCGCAGCGTTTCCTTTTCAGGGGCAGCGATGGGGGGGGGGTAGGCGTACAGCCAAGTCGGGCATGTCCTACATGAAGAATATTCAAACATGGGCAACAAATAGTGTGGGAACGTTTTTTTTCCCTTCCTTCTCTTCATCCAAAACCCGCCTGCAGGAGGACTTGCCCGACTTAAACATGCAGTCGATCCGTATAGTAAGCACGAACGATTTTCCAAGGTTGACCTTGCATCCTTGCCCTTCCGGCCCATCCGTGGCGACGTTCGCTGGCCAGCCTCGTTCCTTAAATCGTCAACGTGGCCCTCCAGGGCCCCATGCATCCTGACCGCGCATCCTTATTCTACTGGTTGATTGTCAGCGGTATGTATCGATCCGCAATCGTCCGTTCATCGCCGACAGGGTCCCGATAGCCCCACCCCGCCCAGTAACGTAGGGACTCGCTGTATTGGGCGCACATCGGCGATCCGTCGGCGATGCGTCGCCGAGTCCAGGTCGATGTTCCCCCCCCCCCTTGTGCCAGTCCCCCCCCCTCTCGTTGCCCCTCACCCTTGTGGGCGCCGCCACGGCAGGGTTCCCATGAACGACGCAAGAAATACGGGGTCGTCTTCGCCGACCTTCGCGCGCAAGCTGCCCGCGCAAGGTCGCGCATCATCGTCCTCGTCTTCAGTGTGGCGTGCCGCGCTGGTGCCCGCGTAAGCCGCGGCGTACAGCCAAAAACCCTAATAATGACGCGCGTCCTTGCTCAGGGTACCCTGGCGTCCTTGTTCTTCCTTGCTCTTGCGTCCTTGAGTTGTTCGTCGTCCGCCGCCCCAAAAATCCCAACTTCGGCTTCCAAGGGTCTTGCGTCCTTACCGCGCGTCCTCATTAGGGTTTTTGACTGGAAGGTTGCTACGTCACCTCGCGTAAAACCCAGTCTTGATCGCCGGCCACGTGTGGCTGCTTCGCAGGACTAAGGACCGATGGGCCTTCGACGGCATGCCTGGCGCGGCGGGAGTGTTCCGGACCGCCAGGAGGGGAACGGAGTCATGATCGACAGCGACGGCAAGGAGATGGTCGGGAAATGGCGGAACGGCACGCAGGTGTTGGGCAGGGCTCTCCGTTCTCGTCGGGCGAGGGGGGGATTGGGAGCATGCAGCTGGATGCAGCATCTGGCATGCATGCAGCATGCTCCCGAAGACACAGAAAATCTCTCAGAAGGCCGGCGGGCTTCTAAGGAACCCCGCCGCCTTCTGAGAAGGCTTCCTTTTTCTCATTTCCCCCCCTCGCTCGCCGCCGACCAGGACCTTGGCCTCTGACCTGAAACTTTTCTCTATCCCCGTGATTGTTACCGCCTCATCTTGATGACGATCTTAAGGATTTCTTCATTCCTGAGGGCGCACCCCTGATATTGGCTCAAGCCACCCGTCTTGGCTCAAGTAATCCGAGCTCTGCACCGTGCTTGCGAGAAGATGCCACAGGGATCCAAGTCAAAACATGAATCCAGTGGTATGGTGGATGGGCCTGAGCGGCGCCCTGCGTGCAGGCAGGCGATCGAAGATAACTCCAGCAGTGACGAGGAGAAGGAGATCAGTTCGGTGCCTGTGCAGATGCTCCGCCATATTTCCGGAAATTTAAGTAAACGCAAGGTAAGCGGCTGAGCAATATTGCAAACAAGATGAGCAAACTCAAGTCGCTCATCAAGGAGTGCCGGCAGGAGGCGGATGAAGCGAAGGATATGGCGAGAGATGTCAAAGAGAAGGTTGAAGACCTGGATGTGGTCGTTACAGAAATCGAAGCGACATGGAATTCATGGCCACGGAGGCCCAAGTGTGCCTCATTATCGCAGAAATGGCGGAAGAGAAGGTGGAGTAGAGGGTAAAGGAGACGATGGAGGACAAGCCCGTGCAGCAGCAGCAGCAGCAACCTCAGCAGGAAAATGAGGAGGAGTCGAGGGAGTTACAGGTCATCGCGGGGGGCCTGAAGGATACGGGGGACCAGGTGGAAATCACCGAATAGTTGCGAGAGGTCGTCAGGAACGCAGGTGCAGAAAGGGAGGTGCAAAAACGTTACTATCTTCTCATATCCATCAATATTTCGGATCGGCCCGTTCCAGTCTGTTGCGGCAAAGTTCGGCTTCCCCCCAAAAAACCAAAAACATGGAGACGAAATTGGGCTAATGGGAACGCAATGAAGTTCAACTGCAGCGATCCTTTCGAAAACAGGGTCGTCGACAAGCACTTGGGGCAGATCAAAGGGAGGCTTCATGAAGACCATGGGCATGATCCCGAATATATCAAAATAGGGAAGACAGCATAGGTGGTGGAGCCAAGAAATATGGTAATGGCGTGATTGAGAACGGCGCCGTGAAGTTCAAGGACGAGGGTATCACGCTGCAGCGCGCGATCGAAGATTTCATGGAGGATTGGAGGAGCAGCCAGGGCCCTGCTGGCAAGTGACAAATTCGAAAGCAACGGACAAACAGTACCCGGGGAAGGACTCAAATGGCAACTAACATGGCCCGCGCAAATCCAGCAGACAGTGGGCACACTACGCGCGTGATCTTGTGCTGAGCAGCGCGAGGGTGAGCGGGAAGTATTGCAGTCTAGACGGCGGCCTGCCCTTAAGCATAGCCGCGGCCTTGCGACATCAGCCGCGAACGCGCAATGGCACGCGCAACTACCAGAAACATGAGTTGGAGGCTGGGGTTGGCGACGATATGGCGTCATTTACAATGCCGTGCAAACGTGCGCAATCAATCCAACCTCAGGGAAGGATGCAGAACCTACTTGTTGAGTTGTCTCAGTTGAATGTGCGTCATGGTGTTGCGCGTCGAACCTTCGAGGGGAACTGCTGAAGGGCAGTTTCATGTCATGGGATCAGGGGGTAGCAAGTGTTCAAATGGAGTTGCTATCATCGTGCACCGGCGCCGGAATAGCAACATTATTCATGTGCGGCTCGGTCGGACAGGTTGTGCTGGGTGTGCGTGAAAATTCATGCGTGCTCTTTCCTGGCGCTCTCAGTTTACCTGCCAAACGTTTGATCATCAGATGCTGAAGCCGAGGCACTGTACAGGGAACGTTTGCGAGTACAAAAGCGGCAGTGTAGAAATAGCTCGGTGTCGTCGTTGGGGGCGGTCTGTCGGGGCAGTCGGCGACTTGGTGGACAACTCGTGCGTCGGTGAGCACGGGCTCGGCGACAGATATCGAAATTGGGGGCGATCTTGCGGCGTGGTTTGCAGAGGAAGCGCTGTCGATTGCAGGCGCGCGCTTTCCCTTACCAGCTCGGGGGAATAGGGCGCGTGGCGATCGAAGCAGGCGTCGGCAACTTGATTTTTTCTGTGCGTGCATGCCCGCGAGCGCTCATGCGAAATATTCTTGAGCTGTTCCAGACATTGGAATTGGCGTTGATTTCTGAGCAGTGAAGCAAACCTTACAAGTGCCCAAGCCGGCTGCCGACCAGCGCGAGCAGGTAGAATGTAGGGGCCGGGGCCGTCTTGCCGGGCATTCAGAATGCGAGTCGACCTTGACGGGGGAACTAAAAAAAGACTTGTGGCTGCGGCGAGCCCTGTGGCGCGCCGCGCGCCGCAGACGTTCGCGGCCGCGCGGAGTCCGCAATGTCGCCAGCTACTAAGAAGTGCCGTGGCAGCGTTGCGACTAAGAAGAAACAACGGACACATGTGCCCATCCAGTGGGCCAGTTGTAGGCGGAAAGAAGAGCAGTTCGAAAGGGGGGGGGGGCGTCGGGCGTTGCAATGCAGAGGCAAGGGGCTGAATGGAGAGAGAGTTAAGACCGTGGGGGAGGCAGCGCAAACGAGCACAAACCGACGACATTTTGATCATGTTCTGGCATTGGAAGAAGCCAGAGAGCGACAATGGTCCGGAACAGCGGCTGACTTGCGCGAGTAACAGCGAGGGGGCCGAGGTCTCGGACAGACAGGGCATCGCAGACGCGTTTGCGATATTCTATGAAGGTCTGTATTCCAGTGCGCATTGTCCACGAGAGGCGGGGCATGTCTTGTCAGCTGCAGGCGAGCCGTCGCGCGCCCCCCCCGGCCCCGACCGATGACGTCGGCGAACGTGTTCGCACGGTCGAGAAGGACAGGTCGGCGGACTCGGCCGGCATAGTCGCGGAGACGCTCGAAGCAGGGGGCGACTATTTTTTGGAAGTAGGGGCCCGCGTCTGCGCGAGTGCATTGACAGATGGAGAGGCGCCTCTTCAGAGTTGGGGGCGTGCGCGCGTCGGAGTGCTTTGTTGATCGGGAGAGCCTAACTTGCCGATTCATTACCTGCTCGATTCTCCTTATCTTTTGCAAGCTGTTCAGCATGGCGCTGCGCGCGTCAGCAGTCGCTGGGCCGAGCGAGATTTCGTACGGGCTACAGTTGCGACGACCATTTGTTAGCTCTGAACTGGCTTCGCGGAAAAATATGCGAGCGAAGCGTTCTGGGTGGCTGCTGTGGAAGTCGAGAAGGCTTTCGATTCGGTTTGCCGCGCGTCAGCGCGGGGATCCCTGAGCGAGCAAAACGCACCTGACTCCCGCGTCAGTTTTGTGCGCAGAATGCGAGGAGCACGCTGGACATATCATTTCCGACCGTGCGAATCGCATCTTCAGACTAGAGAAAGCTACCATCAGGGGTCTCCGCCCCGTGCGCCCCGCGCATCTTCCGACCGTGCGCCCCGCGCAGTTCAATGCTGCGCTAGATCCAATCACGCGGGATCTCAAGCAGGGATGGGACAGGACAGGGTGCGGAGTGAAGATAGGAGACAGACGTCTCACGAACCTGCGGTTTGCGCATCACATTATGCTGATCGGGGCCACGATTACGCAAGTGTGGCGCCCGCGTGAAGAGCTGGCGAGGCGCGCCAGCGAAACTGGGCTGCAGCTGCGCATGGGGAAGACGAGAATCGCTTCAAACGTTGCCAACAGACGCGGTGTCCTGTCGCAGTCTCACGTGCAAGTCGAGGTGCTCCCTGTGGACGGAAGCGTTTCTTGCATGGGGCGAACACTGTATGGAACCGCGTTGCGACTGGCTGGGGGGCGTTTGATTTTTTAGACGCTTCGCGTATCCCCACCAGCCCATCCAGAAACGATGTCCAGGCGAGTTGAAGTGATCAGGGAAATGCGGCAGCAAAGAGGGGGACGGCCGAACCGTGCAAAGGAGTGAGGAGGAGAAGGAGGAGGTGGATGGATGGATGGATGAGGGAGTGGGAAGAAGGAGGATGAATAGGATGAGGAGGAGGCGGAGGAGGAGGAGGAGGAAGAGAAGGAGTAGGAGCAGGAAGGAGGAACAGGAGGAGGAGGAGGAGGAGGAGCAGGAAGGAGGAACAGGAGGAGGAGGAGGAGGACAAGCATAAGGGCCAGAGGTCTCTTGGATGCCTATCGGAGCCTCTTGGGGTATCTCTTGGGCGATTCTTGGTGGCCTCTTGGGACGTCTTGGGGGTCTTTTGGCGATCCTGGGGGGCTCTTCGGGGTCTGGGGTGCCTCGGGGGGGGCCTCTTGGGGCCGCTTAGGGTTTCCTTGGGGGCCTCCTGGGGGCCTCTTGGGCGCCTCTTGGGGCCATTTTGGGGCCATCTTGGGACCTCTTGGGGCCTCCTGGGCTTTTCTTGGGGCCATCTTGGACGAGATCGGTCAACGAAGGGGCGTTCCTCAATTACGCCCCCCCCCCCCCCGCCCCCCAGGAGGCCAAAATGGGGCCAGAACCCTCGTAAAATCAATGATTTAGGCTTCCTCGCCGAGGCCGTTTTGGACGCTCTAACTACCCGCGGCCCCCCCCAGGTCCACGGGGAGGGGGTAGGGGGAGGGGTAAACCCCTCCCCGAAGGGGAAGAACGAGTGGTGGAAGAGGAAACGCCTTGAGCCACCGACGCCCAGAGGGCTGGTGGGATTCAAGGCTGTGTCTTGTAATGGGCAGTACCTGTTGCGCTCACGGCTTCGCCTTTTCGACGCTGTGGTCTCATCGACTGCTTTGCGTGGGGGCGGCGCGTGGACCGTGCCGGCGGATCGGGAATCTAAGCTCCAGACGGAGTTGCGGAATATGGAATATGCTTCGTGAGGATATTGCAGCGCCACCGATGAGAGCAGCCCATTGGTGGGGGGATTGGCAGGAC